TGTCTTATCCTTGTGTAGGCATTAGAATTAGATTTGGTTGTATGTATGTGGTTGTGCATCAATTTGGTTGCCCAATGAGTGAGGCAAGGAGTTCCACAAGTGGTTCGACTCTTCTTTAGAAATATATCTCTTGTATATAAAACTAGTTTGACAACGTTCCTCCTTAAAGAAGAAAAAAAAAATTAAAAAAAAAATAAAGAGAGCGAATAGTGTGTTGACCAAATTCTACTATTTCACCTAAGATCAATTTATACTGGGGAGGAATTCACTTCTTTTTTTTTTTTTTGATCACAAATATTTGATATAAAAGCCCCGTTTGGTATAGCTGTTAAAACAGCTTATAGATTATACCTTAACAGATTATAGATTATGACTTTAATCAGAAGTTGTTAATCTGTTTGGTGTAGCTGTTGGATTATAGATTTAAGTTGCTGAGTAGTGTTTGTTAAATAAGCTGTGAAATAGCTTTTTCAATTAATTTTTATTTTTTGTTTGTCTACATTTCTCATAAATAATAATAATAATAATCTATAGTCCATTTGAGTCTTTTTTTTATTTTTTTAAAAATAAAAAAATTTAAGAGTATAACCATAAATTAACATGTCCACAGCAGAATCTGATAATTAGAAACAAGGGGTGAGCAGCTTCTCAGAATCAGTTTTTTTGAGTTAAAATAAGCGGTTAGAATCAGAAGCTGTTTGAAATAAGTTTAACCAAACAGTTCAAAATAACTTTTTCAAAGCTAAAAGTCATAAGTTGGCTTTGAAAAGCTGAAACAAATACCCCCAAAGAGCGATGACAACTTGACATTGATTCACTTACTAGATCAAATTTCACTATCTCCTAAAACTAGATGATATTACTAGATCAATTAAATTAACTGTCTTGCATTTCTCTCTTGCCAAATGAAATATATAATTGCATCTACTGCAAGTTTGAACAACTTTTAAAATAACTACTTTTCTTCTCAAGTTGTGCAGTCATTGCACTCACCCTACAAGTTCAACGGACATCTCTGAATTCTGAACTTAGTCCAAAAAAAAAAAAATATATATATATATATATTTGCCATAGATTGAAAGAAAGAAAGAAAAAAATTTATTGATACAAAAATCAAAAAACATAAAGAAAAAGTTTATTAATACAAAAATCAATCATAAAATTATGTATACAACTCTTTTATAAGAAGTTAGTCTCATCTTTTTGTAAGTTTTATATTGATATGAAATAATAATTATATTTTGTACAATGAGGAGAATTTATTTGGTAGTCCTGGGACACAGTTACATAATGTTCTAATTGTGTTGTAATGAGCAAAGAGGGTTACAATTTTATTTTGAGTGATCAAAAAATAGCAAGATATATAATGATTTATGATTAGTCGCAGATATAATCACGTAATACTTCTCATCACAAAATAATTTTTTGAAAATGAGGTTATGACAACAAAATTGTGTGACCAATTAACGCTAAAATGTAGGTGATAGTTAACCAAAGTATGTTTTAAGGTTTTGTCGCATTTGACTCTCCTTTTTGTTGGCTTCAACATGCTTCGAGAATCTTGTAGACCTCCCTCTCTTCATTCTTACCCGTGACACACAAAAAACATCAACCCGTGATTATTCGACTGACACGTGTCACATCTACATTTTCCCACCTCAGTCAGAGAGAGAGAGAGAGAGAGAGAATGCACATACGTACATACATACACATGTTGAAATTATTAATTGAGAGCAAAAACAATAGTACACTAGCATGTGAATTCTTGATTTTTGGAACTCTGGTAAGCTTTGTATCAAATCTTTCTTCATTCATGCTTTGTATTTCGTCAGGTAGGTTTGGTTGGCCCACAACAAAAACAGCGCCAGAGGATCATTTAGTTACACGTGCCTTTCAGGTTGGCCCCTCCAATCAGACGTCAAATCTCTCTCTCCGTACATCTTCAAATACTTAAATTTTTAATTATAGTATAAAATTTTAGGGTTTGTTCGAAATGTTTTAAATACGCGTTTTTTTTAATTTTTTATAAAAATATATGTAAAAAAATAGAGAGGTAATGTTGATTGATGTGACTCAAATTAAGTTTCGTTTGGCATTCGTTACAATAACTAACTTTTTTGTGTTGAAACTTTTTTAGCATGGCTTTTTTAGTTTTTGTTTTTGGATTTTTTTGACTTTTGTGAAAAAAAATTATAATGATTATGATTTGGATATAACATTTTATTTTATTAACTTATATAATCTATTTTATTTTTTTTGTACTTTTTTAATATCAAAATATTTACCAAATAAGGACTAAGTGTACTTATACAAAAAGTACGCTTATATAGTTTAACACAAATAAGGCTTCAATATACGTGAATCTTATGATCTTACATTTTTTAATTGAAAAATGGTTGAGAACACTAAAAGTGGTGCTCTAATAGCATCACTAATGATGTGGCAGTATGTTTTATTTTTTTTTTGCCCACTATCTATGTTTTTTTTTTTTTTTGACATTCCCAATACATTAGTGCTATTAGTGGTTATTGTTGATTATGGCTTTGTTTGGAAAGAGGTTTGGGGCAATTCTAGCTAAAAAGATAAAATAGATTTTTTAACGTAGCAAAATAAAATATCACATCCAACCCATAATCATTACATTCTTTCTCTCATAAAAAGTTAAAAAAGTCAAAAAGTCCTTTCCAAACAAGACTTATCCCCAGACTAAAATAGTCAAAAATCCAAAAAGTCAACCAACTTCCCAAATCAACCCTATATTTGATCATGAAAAGAACTATGAGACAGTGAATTTTGTGTCATTCAAACTGTTCTTTGTCCTAAGTCGTTTTTCTTCGACATTGTACGTCTATTATATTATGTAATTACTCTCTTAAACTTGATCATGAAAAGAACTTTGAGACAGGTAAACAGAGAGATCTGATTTCTCCCACAACAATATGAGTTTGGAAGGCAATTTTGCATTTAAATGAATGAAACATCACTCCTTGCGTCAGGGATGAAGATTGGAAAGTTCAAATTAAAAGGTCTAAACTGCCCACGAAAAATTATTAGGTGAATATAGAACAATGTTTCATATTATCTATCAATGGACACCGCTTGTTATTTTCTAGAGTACCAACACAAAAATGATGAATTATATTGTTTAAATCAATTACAATCGAATTGAAGCACCACATAAATGTATTCCAAAAATATTGAATAATTACTCAACATAAATGTGATTGGTTATGGCAACATATACATGTACATTCTCTTCACTAAAACCTAACTTCTATATAAGCCAAAGCCACTTCTAATTACCCCATGCAATGGCAAGCAAAGTTCAAAAAAAAATTTGAGTCTCACATACATATATTAGTTTTACGGGGTCATGGGGCGCTAGATGATTAAAAAAACCGAATCGATCAATCGATCAAACATTCTTGAGCATTGTAAAGGTCCGGTATTGGCCGTTGATTGTGATCCAAATGAACAACTAATTAGTGATATTAGAGACCATGAATTCAGACACAATATTAAAAGAGAGTTAGGAGTAGTTAAAAATTTTTGTATTACATTTAAAATAGGTTAAAGGGGTCATGTGAGGAATGAAAGCAGCTTTGGATGGGTTATTTTTTTCATAGTTGGTAGAGTAGTATTATATTTTTTCATAGTTAGTAGTATTATATGGTGCATTTATGAGGACCGTGTTTTTCTGGTCCCACCCCTGTGAATTGGTGAACGGTTTAATTCTGTTGTCTTTGCTTGCTATATTTCTATGGCCACAACACAACACCAGGAACTAAACAACAATCAAGAGTCACGAGAGAGATAGATAGAGAGAGACCAAACCCCATTCACCACATTGCTATTACTACTGCCTGCTATCATCTTTTTCTCATATGCATTATTGGAATCACATGATCGGTATGTTTGTTGCACCTAAGTTGAAATCTGCAGTAAACGACGCCAAAATAATGTTAACTACTGTACATTAAGAAGCAGAACAAATACTTTCATACTTTTGAAGCTTGAATATAGAGAAACATGCATCATGGGTATTGGCTTTTTGCACACTTTTCTGGAAGACTTGAAAAGTACTTGATTCTGGTAAGGGCATTTTCACACTTTGGACAAATTGCCCTAATTTCTACATCCCTTGTATAACCTTTTTTTTTTTTTTTTTTCAGGTAATACTTGTATATATAACCTTTCTGATCATAATGGAAAGGCAGCAGCCATGAACATTGTCATTATTTTTAGGGTGAACTATGTAAATCGTGTGTTCTTCTTTGTGTTTGATTGACAATTCATATCTCACTGATCCTAATTAGATGTTATAGATTCCTAACAACCAGACTGGATCTTCAAAGCAACTCACAAGTTCAAACTTGTTGGACATGCAATCCCTCCCAACTTCATGTCATGTTAAACACACACACACACAGAGACAAGATATATAGTACTACGAGGTGAGGTCATGTTTGATTCACAAGACTCATAGTGAAGGTATTAATAATCTCATCAAATTAGTGTGGTATTCATTATCTAATTGGATTAGTAAGATAAATTATCCTCTTGTCCATTGTTTGATTTGCATGGAATAAAAAAACATATGAAGGAAAAGGAGTCTATTTATTTTATTTCCCAACTCAGGATATATAATCTCACCCCTACCCCATTACTAATAATCCTACAAATTTATTTGATTAATTATCCATTGGATTAATAATCCTGAAACAAAATTTCAAAATAAACACAGGATTATTGAGCTCACGAATTAATAATCTCAATCTCATACTCTAATTTTGTCAACCAAATATGCGTGAGAGATTAAAGAAAAGCAAATATAATCTGTGGACCACAAAATATTGAAACAAACTAGTGAATAGAAAAACAGAAAAATGTGAGATCCTTAGATATCCACTGCAGAACAAAAGGCTCTCTCTGCCAAAATTTGCCATAGTAAACCCGTTGCCGATTTTGCTCTTTTGGAGAGAATTCCTATGGACAATGATTTTGGGATCAACCAGAACTCGACATGTGTCAACCTGGTCAATAATAAATTTAATTTTGACATGACAAAGGCAAGGTTGAGAAACACTAAAGCAAAAACAAACACACTTGCACACACAGATTTAAGATAAAAGAGTTTTACTATGAAGGTAGAGATTATAATGATACTGTTCTCACTTTCAACCTTAGGACCGCTAAATAACCCCTAAATAACACGAAAGTAGCAAACCGGGTCAAATTGACTCAAATAGAAATATCGGGTCAGACTCATTGTCCAATGAATAAGCTTTGTTTGTGTAGGTCGGCAATGGGTAATAAGAGTCAAATTTGACACATCCACAACAATTTTTGTAGGCACTTTTGAGTATAAATTACAACCTCTCCACTTCAACTAGTCCTTGCCACAATCCAAACCACTTTGTTTGAGGTCACTATCTGTGAACTCCTCCTTTCTTCATCTTTTCTATCTGTTCTTGCTTCCATTAATTTTGGCACCTCTCAAAGTGGATTTTCTAGCACTTTCCAGAGAAACAGTTGGGAAAACTAGGGGATTCATCACTTCAGATGAAGCCAACAACACATTGGCATTTGATAATTATAATTGCTGTGGCACTGGTCTCCCAAGATTCAATCAATGTGGAATGCAGAGCCCATTTTCACAAGAAGCAGAAGAACAAAGGATCCTCTTCTGGTTATCCTCCTCCTAGTCCTCCTCAAGACCCTGCACCTCCATCCCCTGTTTTGCCTCCCCCTATTCCTTCTGACCCGAGTAACCCTCCTGGCAGTTCCAGCTCTAACTGTATTTTTGACGTGACATCTTTCGGGGCTGTCGGAGATGGGTCCAGTGATGACACTGCTGCATTCAGAAAAGCATGGCAAGCAGCTTGTGCAGTAGAATCTGGTGTTGTTTTGGCTCCCTCGGATTACACATTCATGATTACTTCAACAATCTTCTCTGGTCCTTGTAAGCGAGGACTAGTGTTCCAAGTAAGAATTCAAGAAAAATTCCCTTCTTTGTTCTCTGTTTGTTTTGGCAGAAGAGTATTTTCCTTTTCCAACAGAGAAAAACTGTTTTTTTGCCAAAACAAACGGAAGCTCAAAAAGTAATGTTAATGTAAAGCTAATGTGAAACTTTGCTTTAAAAGACTTAAAATTTTTGGATGTGGAAAGGTGGATGGGGTACTAATGGCGCCTAATGGACCGAATTGCTGGCCAAAAACAGACAGCAGCAAGCAATGGCTAGTGTTTTACAGGCTCGATGAAATGACATTGACTGGAAGTGGAACCATTGAAGGGAATGGTGAGCAGTGGTGGGAACTCCCCTGCAAACCTCACCGGGTACTTTGTTCAATCCCCAATTTGTTGCTGAGCTGTATGTGTATTCATCACTAGAAATTCAGCATCATCTTTTGAACAAATTCCACCACACACACACACACACACGCACACAAAAACAAACAAACAAACCGACAATCCAACTTATGACACTTGAAAAGGTGAGCGGATTAGAGGTCAGTTGGCCAGCAGGTTAGGATTTGTCAATACATCTACAAACAATCCAACTTGCCTACATGTAAACTGATAATTACCTAGCATTTGCCCACATACAATCTTTTCCTAATCTGATAATACACGCCCCACATTTTTATGGCATTTTTTAAAAATAATTTATTTACTTTGCATATTAATTTGTGAAATGTAATTTTGAATAATTGATTTATGGGTTTTGCGTTGGGATTGGCATTGGGAATAAATAATAAAAAGTTTTGTTTAAAATAGTAAAATAAATAAATAAATAAATAAATTTAAGGTTGAATGTTGATGTTCTTTTCCATTTTCTATTTCTAACCTGCCCAAACCTCAAAAATATTCAACCAAGTTGCTGGTTTTGAGGATGGGTGGGCTGGCGGCGGATTGAAATTTTTTTGATCTATCAAAAGTGGTTCGGTTTATAATTTTCGCTCAAAACCAACCAGCCCGTACTCACCTGTGTACACCTCTTTCACAAATGCGTACCAATTGAAAAGTTAAGGATTAAAGTGACACATTTAATCATGAATTTTGAATCTTATTTCAAATAAGAATAATTAAAAATACCATTACTCAATTTCAAGGGCAAAGTCGTCAATTTGATAAAATATAAACTAATTTGACAAAAATAAATGTCAAAAGAAATATTTTTGAATTTTTAAAAATTATTTCTACTTACCAAAAAATAAAATTATGTAAAATTAATAAATCTTATAAACATTTATTTAAATTTTTTTTTACCAAATTAATTTTTATTGTGCATTTGGATGATAATCATGTAATGAGTGATTGTTAGTTTTTAATCTGTAATCGATATATTTAATATATAAAATATTTTAGTTTTGGATTTTTTAATTTAATGGATTAGTTTAATAATGATATCAAAGTTGTCGTCATATTTGACTTTTGAAAAAATAGAAACGAATTTAATGAAAATAAAAACAATCACCCATTACAGGATCATTATCCAAACACATAATAAAAATTAATTTGGTAAAAAAAATAATAAATAAATGTCTAAAAAATTTATCAATTTTACATAATTTTATCTTTAGTGGATAGAAATAATTTTTAAAAATTAAAAATATTTTTTTGACGTTTATTTTTTTTAAATTAGTTTATGATTTATCAAATTGATAATTTTGCCCTTGAAATTGAACAACGATATCTTCAATTGTCTTTATTTGGAATAAGATTCAAAATTCATAGTCAAATATGTCACAATTAAAAAGTCATAAACTAAAGTGATACAAGACCCAAACTATAAGGACGCTAGTCTATTTCGCTATATAATTTTTGTCATAGTTCCATTTGTGCTCCATTTAAATGCGAACTAAAAATTTGATTGAAATGCCATTTTCAGGGTCCCAACGGTTCAACATTGCCTGGACCATGTGATAGCCCTGCTGTGAGTACAAACCATACAACACTCTCCGGTCCTAGATTCAATCAATCAATCAATAGTTTCTACTACCAATAAACTTCATTTCTTTAACTTCTTATTTTTTTTCTTCAGTTAATTCGATTTTTCATGAGCAACAATCTGGCAGTTCGCGGGTTGCAAATCCAAAACAGTCCCCAATTCCACGTGAAATTTGATGGCTGTGAAGGTGTGCAGATAGAGAAGCTATCCATTTCTTCTCCAAAGCTCAGCCCAAACACTGATGGCATTCACATCGAGAACACCAAGTACGTCGGGATATACAACTCTGTCATAGGCAATGGTAAGCCACATCAAAGCCCAGTGAGTTTGTAATTTGCTAATATGCATTAATGCTCAGCAATGTCACCTCCATTTTAACAGGGGATGATTGCATTTCAATTGGAACGGGGTGTTCAAATGTTGACATAGAAGGTGTCACTTGCGGGCCGAGTCATGGGATTAGGTAAATCATGAATCAATGCTTTCTTTTCTGTCAATGCTAAATCTGATGATCACCAAATTAGCTGATCAGTTCTGTTATTTCAGTTATTTTAGTCTCATCATGCCACCGCGTGATCCCTCTGGTTGTGTTTCCATCTTCTGTTTTCGTTTCCAGAAAACGCATAAAACTTGTCTAGTGAAATGTTTTCCAAAATTGTTTTTCATTTCAAGAAAGTTTTTTTTTTTTTTTTTTTTTTTTTTTTTTTAAAGACCCATTTTTTAGGAAATTTTAGAGGAAACATCAAAAAATTGTCTTTGAAATTCTAAAAACTATATTCACAAAAACATAACAACCAAAGCTCTCTCTGTGGTCTGCAGCATTGGGAGCCTAGGGGTGCACAACTCCCAGGCATGTGTCTCCAACATAACAGTCCGCAATGCGGTTATAAAGGACTCGGACAATGGGGTCAGGATCAAAACCTGGCAAGGCGGGACAGGCTCAGTATCTGGCATTTCATTCGAGAACATCCAAATGGACAATGTCAGGAACTCCATAATCATAGACCAGTACTACTGCTTCACAAAGGGTTGTCGGAACCAGACCTCGGCCGTTTATCTGACAGACGTGTCGTATCGCAACATAAAGGGCACGTACGACGTGCGTAGCCCTCCCATCCACTTTGCCTGCAGCGACACCGTGCCCTGCACGAATCTAACGATGTCCGAGGTTGAGCTTCTTCCATATGAAGGGGAATTGGTGGATGATCCATTTTGTTGGAATGCATATGGGACTCAAGAGACCTTGACAATACCTCCCATTGATTGCTTGCAAGATGGGGAGCCTGAGTCTGAGGGAGAGCCTTCCACATATTGTTAGTAGGGGTATTTTAGTGCTTTTCGTTATTACATAATTATAAAAGGGGCTTTGTCCTAAAGCCATTGTGGGATCCGAGGAGGATCCAATTTACGTAGGTCTTGTGCATGCGAAGAGACTGTTTCTATGATTCGAATTTAGGACACTAAGATCATGATAGAACAATCTTACTATTGCACCAAGAGCCAACCTAGTTATTTGCATATAACTTATGTATACAGTAATTTGATAGAGATCAGGAGCCATTATTTGGTTATGGGTCTTGATTGTTACCTAGCTAGGCCTTCATCCCTTTGGGTTTGTTTCCCTTATTGTGTGATGAGGTGTGTTGTAGGAATTGGGGATTTTTTTTTTTTTTTTTGTTTGCCATACTATGTAACAGAGTGGATTTTTACATCTATAATTAATAATAGCATTACTGTACCAGTTTGATATCCCTGTTTTTTTTTGTTTGCCAACTATGTTAGCCCACCTAATGGATGAAAATCTTGGGGGATTTCTTTGAAATTAAAGAGATTTCAGCAATGTTATGAGTATACAAAATATATATATATATATATATATTTTGTATACTCATAACATTGCTGAAATCTCTTTAATTTCAAAGAAATCCCCCAAGATTTTCATCCATTAGGTGGGCATTGAAAAAGTGGATGTATCTTTAAGATTGTGTTTTATTATGAATTTGGGTAGAAATTTAAAAATGAAAAATAAAAAAAAATAAAAAAAAAAAGTAAGAGAAATTCATTCACATTTTATCTTCTTTTTTTTTTTCTTTCACAAAATCTTTATTCAAATTTATTATACAAACACAAGCTAAATAAAAATATTATATAAATTCAAATTTGATGTAATGTAAAATTAGTTCCAAATAAATCATCTCCGGCAGACCCAACGATTTACGTAGGTTTTTTTTTTTTTTGAAATTTACTAGGTCTTCTGAATATTACAAATATTTTTTTTACATTTATTTATTTATTTTATTGTTTTGTTTGGTCTGGACTTCAAAATTCCACATAACAAATAATTGATGAAGCCCAGAGAGAGTCCAGGCAGGCAGGCCCATCAAACGACAGACGGCTGTCCTCCACTCCACATATATACAATACAATGTAAACACCTTCTGTCACAAAATATTAATTTTTTATTATCTGAAAATATTAATTATTTTTTAAAAATTAATATGAATTTATTTTGTTATTTTTTTGTTTTGCTTCCGTCATTGCAGTTAGGGTTTTCTCAATCTCCAATCTCCGATTTGTACTACATCAACATCAAAAATGCATATCTCATTGCTGTTAAAGTTATTGACCATTGATGTTTGTACCAAAAACATATACTATTAATCTGCGAAGCTCGCAACGGAACACAACACAAAACATCTCTCTCTCTCTCTCTCTCTCTCTCGGTGAGAGACTGAACAGAACAGCTTCAGCTTCAGGTGACTAGTACTAGTTGGTTGGTTGTTTGTTAATCTGCAAAACCCCATCTGTTTTTGTATGTGTTTTTTTTGATGTTGAATTGGGATTAGGTTCAAAATCGAACATGCCGTCTCTTCAAACAGCATTACCTCCTGAACTCGCCAACAATGCGATTAGAGTTAGTATTTTCTATTTCAAGTCTCAATTTTTTTTTTTATTTCTTTTTTATAGTTGAATTGGGTATTTCCCAATTGCTGAGGCAATTTTTTTTTTTTTGTTTTTCTTTTTGGGGGTCTGTTATTGGGTGTAGCTTTACCGTGAATGCCTTCGAAGAGCTAAATATATTGGCACTCGGGTATATATTATTCTTCTCTTATCTCTCTTACTCTTACTCTTACTCTTCAGCTATTATTGTATTGTGCTTCTCAACTTTGATATTGTTTTGTTGTTTTGTTAAGAAATTTTGATCACAACTTGCTCAATATGGGATTATTTGAAAAGTCAGTTCATGCTTATTTTTTGGAATAATTACCCACAAGTTAACCAAAAAGTGGATGTGGGTACTTACACACATGAAACACAATATAATTTGAACAAAAACTTAGGACCTATTAATAAAAGAAAAATATTGTCCGTTTATTCTTATTAATCAATACTCTGTCAAGCTTTAGAAATTCCTGTTATGTTATATGGTTTTATTAATTTTGAATGAACTATTCACATATTATAGATAACATATAAAATCATATAGTTAGCTTAGCATGTATCTCCCTTGTGTTGTGTCTTGAATTTTTTGAAAATTGCCATGTCGGTGTGTCCATGTCCATGCTTTTCAGATAGTCATCCTTGTTTATCTCCATCAATTAGGTTTTTTATTGTTTAGCTCAATTTTTAGGATTAAACAATGAGGTTAGGTCAAATTTCATACCAGGCCTCCAGTTTCACTTGAGGATTTGTACTTCTAGTGGGAAAAGATCTGATCTTTGAATTCAATCCCGTATTTCAGAAGTTTAGCCACTCATTTTAGTCAGTTATGTAGTATCATATCAACGCGAACAACTTCTTTACTGAGAACAAACTTTATCCCTGGTGCGCTTGGCTTGATGGTTACTAATGCGCTTTACCCAAGTGACAACTTTGAACTCTTTGGGCCTGTTTGATTGGTTGGAGTAATAGTGGTAAGATTAATAATCCATGGGATTAACCATTGGATTGACTGTCCAACTCAATTAGTAGGATAAATATGTGTGGGATTATTTATACTTACCTCCATAGGTATTGAATATCCCACGATTTTGTTGGATTAGAAGTCCTACATATTTCTAAGCTGACCATCATTATGCCATTCAACCGCAAGAATGTGCATATCACTGGATTAACAATCCAATCCTATTCTCTAATACTGGAATCAAACAGGCCCTTTAGGTGTGAAGTGCAGCAAAAGGGAGAAGCATTGATGTTGAACCGAAAACAGATTAGTCTCTTGTTTCTCCAGAAAAATAAAAGGCAACATCTAATATGATCTTACCTGAACTTTCATTCCTCATTTCCTCTGCAAATTCATAACCCTCAATCTCCATGGGCATGAATCAAAGGCTAGGCATGGAAATTGTAGGATGAGGAGGGAAACTATAATGAATGATATTGGAATTATTGTTGCCTTGAGATTTACTTCCAGAGTGGGATACAGCCCTCATGTTATTGGGGTTTCCAAACGTTTTAGGGAAGAAAAAATATGGAAGCAGAAGAAAACATCGGTCATCTCATCAGTTTATGAATCCCATCTTATTCTTTAGATAAAGTTGGTTTAGTCCCAAACCATAAATAGGACAGAGAAGGAAATTTATGTTTGTCTCAAAATTGGAGGGGATTTTGAATTATAGTGATGAAACGAAAAGAACTAAAATAAAATAATTCAATTCATGAATTTCTTTTTTCTCACTATTAATGCCAATGAAGTAAAATCAAATCCAGAAGTAGGGGTTTGATGCATGGCTTATTGGCATGCCTTTTGTCACCAACCATTATTTTCATCTTGACAATGTTTTTTATTGGTTGTAGGGTTCTTAATTCAAATACCTCTGAATTGAGTCTTAATGTTTAAGACTCTTTTTAAATTCATATTGTCGAACTTCCTTCATTTTAAATGTCTTTATCCGATAATTTTGACAGGGAATATGATATTTAACTTCGTGCTTAGGTACTTACATTTGTCTAATTTGCAGCAATATAACACAGAGCTCGTTGTTGATATGGTGAGACAGCAGTTTAAAAAACACATGCATGAGACAGATCCAGAGAAGATTCAGAAGCTGAAAGATGAGTGAGTGTCATCTTACCTTGTTCTTCACCTATGAAGCACGGATACTTCAAAAAGGGTGACGTATCCGTATCGGATACTTATCAGATACCGATACTCCTCGGATACTCGCGGATACGTATCGGATACTTCTTAATTAATTTTTTATTAATTTTGAAGTATCGGATACTTAATTTTGAAGTATCGGATACTCGAAGTTACATATTACTTATAATATTTTGTTTAGTTCTTTGATAAGAGGAATATAGTGAGAGTTAAAGTAATAGAATTTGTCAAATTGATGTATCCTTGTTGTCTCTCTCACTTCTCTCTCTACTCTCATTCTTTTTTTGGTGTTGGCATGTAATGATGATGTTTAATTTGCATTTGCTTTTGTTTTTGCTTTTAGTTTTGGATGTTTTATGAATGTTTGAGTACTTTTAAGTTAATAAGAATCCCTCTTTTTATTTATTAATTTATAAGTTTTATTTTCATGCATATTACATTATTAAAATTATAATTTTCTTTTTTTTACGAATGTATTCCCGCTGTACTTGTATCATACTTTTTCAAATTTTGACATATCGTCATATCCACATCCCCATATCACCATATCCGTATCCGTGCTTCCTAGGCTATCATTGATGACTTAAAAAAGTATATTTGCTGAAATTTTTATTTAAGAATGGTTTTTTGGCTTTAGCTAAGGTCTGTGATATTCACTGATGAAGGGGAACAAGTTGAAGCTATTGACCTTGAAGACTCTTAGTTTTATAGGAATTTTTCTTCTTTATCAAGTTATCTTTTGCTTTAGGTTTTATTTTTATGCATATTGCATTACTAAAAATTGTTAAAATAATATTTTTTATGAACGTATCCCCGCCGTACCCGTATCCTAATTTTTCAAATTTTGTCGTATCGCCGTATCCGTATCGTATCGGTATCCTGTATCCGTATCCGTGCTTCCTAGTTCTTCACCTGTTCTTTTTTAAGGGAGGCTACGGAAGCAGAGTGGTTAGGATGTCAAAGACCATATTCTATTTAGAAAAGACATCCAAGTCTTTCTATCAGACTGTTCAATACGTGTCATAGCCTTCCTTTTAATTAATTATGTTCTTAAGCCAAATTTAGCTGGCATGATTGTAGGACAATCATCAGACCACCTGCTAACAAACATTAGATACCCTTTTTTCTTCTTGTAAATTGAATAGTATGCCTTGGGGTTAATTGCTCAATGCGAGCACTCAAGACCAATAACAGAATTAATATTTCAATGTTCTAATATGTCTGCGTCTTGGATTTGCAGTGCAGCAAGGGGACTCATAAATCACATGCTATACGAATCTGAGAAGATGTCTGGTCGTAAATTCAGCAACAGCACTTGATGTTGATTGAATGACACTGCTAAGATTCTGCCGGTTGTAGGAAGTCAAATTTTTGGCTGCTATCAAAATAATGAAGACGGAGTGAAGATCCAAAGCCCAGGACATCTCTTTTGTACTTCCATTTTATGGAGTCTAGACTGTTATTCTGTGTGAAATCAGTGTGTCATGATTTTGTCAGAGTTATTCACTTGGCACTGAAACATTCACTATAAGGAGAAGTCACAACTCAATTTGAGCAGAGAAGGGTGTCGCATTACCTTGTAAGATGATTTGTTAAGGTTAATATACTTGCATAAATTTGAGTATTTATGAACTTCTCTTCTTGTTATGCTTTGATTTGAACAAATGCTTGTTTGCCAAGGATTATTATTAATTTTAAGTCAAAATGATGTTTGTGAGTATTGTATTTGAGAAACCAGCACGGTGCTATGCACCATCAACATTTGTTTCAGATGTTAGTTTGTTTTGTGTTGGTACTGAAGGCCAAGCTGATTCTTCAAACCTCACCAACTTGCTGACTCTTAGCTATACTTTCTTCAGGCACACCATTATCATCACACACCGCAACACGTCAGTGATCAATTTCAAGAAAATGGCTTCATATAAGCAAAAGAATCAAACAACAATACAATTGGAGATTTTAATCAACAGGCTCGATCACCAGGAAATTGGTTGTGATCAGTTCGCTATAAATAGGAAAAATTAAAATAAAATGTTCATACTGGTAAAGTTCTGGAATGAAAGTTCTCTACGATCATCAACAAACTGAGATACCGGAGAGCAGAAAAGTCACATGTTTCTCTCCATTGCACTCCTTACACGCTGCAAAACACGAACAAACTCATAAAACAACGAGAAATCTAAACCACCATGGCCACCACTGTCCACAGCCATTGTAGGTTTCTTCGAAGAGTAATTGTACGGGTTCTGACAAATGATCAAATCGAAGCCACCAAACTTCTGAACCAAGCTCTCAACCTTGCTACTCGTTAGCTTCTGGATGTTCTCAATCTGCACCAACTCCCCCATTTGTCCAGCACTCTGCCACCACTTCTTGAGAATCTTCTGCTTCATTTCACTAGGCTCTACAGAGACGACACCTTTTAAGTAAATACCAAGGCGGTGCAAAGTAATTTCTGCACCACCAAATCCACTGTAAATCGATAGCACACTTAGTCCTCCAGGGAACAAAGATTTCAACACCGACAAATGGTACCCCAACGTATCCGTTTGGAAGCAGTGTTTGAGCAATTGAAGTCTTTCCTGTAGGCTAAGCTCGGCAACACGAGTATGGTTTATCGGGTAGCCCAGAATTTTCTCTATATATTCTGGCTCTATCGGGGCCAGTTTATTACGGCCAACCCAAACTAGGTTTGATGTCTTGCACTGATGGAGGATGTCTCGCTGCTGTTCTACCGAGAGCAGCCCTTTAGAAGTGGCTACTATTTTCCCGAGGTGATCGCATAATTGTGAAATCCCTGTAGTTTCAGTACTGATGCAACTCAACTGCTTCCTTGTGTCCCATGATGGCCACCATCTCTTTGCGTGTGGAATTACTTCTTGGATGGTCGTTGGTGGCTTTGGAAGAATATGAAACCTATTACCAGGAGGAAGATTGTGTATGTAGCCTTCCTTCCTACTCAAGGCTGAGAAGAACTGAGTATCTACATACTCGGGCTCCGTTGCATACAAGAACTGTGATATTTTCATCCAAGAATCGTGAGATAGATTCATAACGTTTCCATAAAAGAAATATGGAGGTTTAGCTACCATTTTATCAACACTCTTGCACGACTTGGGTTTGGACGATTCACGCATTTCAAAACCATCCAATCGCCTTGCCTTACGATGGACCTCTCTGCGGTGTACAGGGATCTGAACCCCTTTTCTTGGTTCTGCACATGTTGGGCCAAGATAATTGCTCAAGTCATCATTGTACTCCTGTTTTGGCCTTTTCAAACTGCTTAACTCATCAATATATTCTTCTTTTGGCCTTTTCCCTTTATACTTCTCTAAATCAATATCACTAAATTGAGAACCAGCATCTAAACAAAATTCCTCGGTTTTTACAGTGAATGGATCGAAAGAATGGTTACTTGGACCATCTTCCATCCCGCTAGTCCAAGACCTATTCCTATTGAAAGAAGTCAAGAGACGCTGCAAAAGGAAGCAAAACAAAGTTCCACTCTTACTAAACCAACTGATAGAGAGAACAATAAGAGCATGTCTGTCCATAACATATAGCATAGTAAGCAACAACAAAAACCAAGCATGCAATAGAACATTGCCTCCTATGTTACATGGACTCCAGTACGAGTATTGGGCTGGGTGTGGGTGTGGGTGTGGGTCCAAGTGTCATGTCTTCATAAACCTAAATCTTAGGATATAGAGATATGGATCCAAAAGTTATATATGGGCGCAGTGACTCATCATAGATATTTATATAGATTACATACTGTATAATATTCTTAAATAAGAAGTAAATTATACAGAAATGTACTTCAAATTAATAGAATTCAAGGAAAATATGAATTTCTATATCTCATCCATGTGAGAGATTAGAAATATTTCTTCACTACCAAATGTGAGTTTGTTCTTCTTCAAACATCATAATATATATATATATATTAGAGGATCCAAGTGTCTAAATTGAGTATGGGTATCGGACACATGTCACGCACCCTTACCCTTGTCATATCTGGTGGACAAGAGTACTTTTGGGGAAATAGAAGAATCCATGTAACACAATATATAAAATATCAGACAAACTTCTCATACGAAGCCAACAAGACCGCCTGGAAATAAAGAACTTCTAAAAAAGATCAATATAAAATAATATTAATCTTGAAAAGTTCAATGTAGCCACTTAGCTCAAATAGAGCTTCAATAGAAAGTGAAAAAAACCTAAGCATAAACATCAATGAAGCTAGCCTAGAGTTGCAAAATCTGCTATGTCAACTTGTGGACAGTCAAAATGTTTATTAATGGTTTTGAACATTGTAAATTCATTAATAGGCCATTAGGAATATAGAAATTGAATAGCAGTATGGTTTATGTGAGGAAAAAAATGAAAATATTAGCAAAACAGAAGGACAAGAACCTTGTTTGCTGCAGAGCAAGTATCACCAACTTCATCAGCACAAATTGCATCAGCAAGCTCAGTAATAGGAACTTCTGTACCTGAAAAACAGCAGATGACTAATAACTAGAAAGTTGGCAGCAAACTGAAATCATCTACAACCTGAAGATAATATGACATCCAATACCTACAGAGTAGACATTCCGAGAGATATAGTCTCTCCTAAGATATGAGAAAACCTATAAACTCATGAACTGCAATTTTTCAACAATCTATGCATTTTCACCAATGCAACAACAATAACCAAAGGGACAACAGTGGCCTATCAATTCAAGATCGTTCTATAGTTGTTAGTAAATCTTAGTCGAGGAGGGTATAATGGTGTCACATCATGTGTGACATAGGTTACATCATTTTCTACTACTTGTCAATAATGTTCCCAGTCAGTTATAGCAAAAAATAAGGAGATTATGATCAGTTGATAGTAATATTGAAATAAAAATACAGTAAAATAAAGAACAAAAGAATAACAATTGGGTAAACCACATACATGAAGAATATAATCATTTACAAGGCCAATTAATTCAGCATAAAATTATGACAACCAAAAAAGAATAAAAATGTACAGAACCACAGCCACAAAACTTATTGTGCCACTGAATACAAATCAGAGGCCATTGTGAAATACATTTAAAACCAATTGTAATTAGGACATAATCTTCATGATAAATAAGTTTAGGTAGGTTCCAAACTGCAACAAAAACGAATATAAGGACAAGAAAATAAAAGGCATAAGAAGCAAAAGACGAGGAGACGAAGAAAAAGAAATTTCAAATGAACATAAATTGCTTTGTTTCCTATACCAAAGAATAAGTAAATAAAATGTGAGGCAGTTGAGGCATTGATCTATATGTAATATTAAGGTAATATTACCCACCATACTTCTCAATAGCTGCAGAAATTTGATTTTCAGAGAACCCCAGTTCAAGCAAACGAAGTGTCTTATCCATAGTCCCAAACAAGGATTCAGTAGTACTTTCCTGTGAATTTTAGTTGGATTAGTAACCATGGGCCATATGATATTGAATGCGGAAATAAGTTAATTAATCTATGAAAACATGGAAAGAAATTAATTGCACAATTCAGAAATAAGCTTGCTAAACTTTCTCCCCCCCCCCCCCCCCCCCCTAATAAGCTTGCTAAACTTGACAATTGACATCAGGCAGTTATAAGCATGGCCATCCACCTTCCTGTACTGTATGTACTACTGTTCCGATCTAATCATTCTCTACATTCATAAGCAACAACGTAATACCTAGATTTGGAGTTAATTACCTTATCTTTAGAGAATAATAATGAGCCTATGTTCATATAACCCCTTAGCCAATTCGATAGTCTATGAAAGATGGATAAGTATACGGGATACGAATACAATATGCTACAAATACATAGATACAATGATTTTTTTTTTCCTTAAAGAAAGTAAGATACAGATACATCAAGGATACGACCATATATATATGTACACGTAATATCATGATGCATATAAAATAATAAATATTTTTTAAAAAACATATTTATAACAAACTAACTCCGCCGGGGTTGTTAACAACTCCGCCGGTCCCAAGCCCGGGTTAAGGAGGAGGGTTGTGTGTTAGGTAGCCGACAGCCAACATGTAAAAAAAGCCGCTCGGATCCCTTATAAAAATGAATCCTACTTTGAATCGTTTAAATGCTAGGTCGTTCCCCTCAAGTGACGCGTTGCGCCTACCTCCGGGTGTTTCGAAAAGTGAGCTAGGGGCGCCGCATCGATGCCTGGGTGCGATGAAAAATGGGTAAAGGTTTCCGCGTTTTTCTGGGCGAGCGTGGGTAAAGAAGATAGTCCATGACTATAGGTTTAGGGTAGCCACTTGGAACATAGGAACCTTAACTAGTAAGACGATGGATTTGGTAGATGTTATGATTAAGAGGAGAGTTAGTATAGCTTGCATACAAGAAACTAAGTGGACAGGAGAGAAAGCTAGGTAAATTGAGGATACTGGTTTTAAACTTTATTATAGTGATAAGGATAGATGCAGGAATGGGGTAAGAATCATAATTGCCAAGGGTCTTGTGGAAAGTGTGGTAAAGAAGATAGTCCATGACTATTGGTTTAGGGTAGCCACTTGGAACATAGGAACCTTAACTAGTAAGACGATGGATTTGGTAGATGTTATGATTAAGAGGAGAGTTAGTATAGCTTGCATACAAGAAACTAAGTGGACAGGAGAGAAAGCTAGGTAAATTGAGGATACTGGTTTTAAACTTTATTATAGTAATAAGGATAGATGCAGGAATGGGGTAAGAATCATAATTGCCAAGGGTCTTGTGGAAAGTGTGGTGGCGGTCACTAGGAAAGGAGATAGGATTATGCTAGTTAAACTAGTTATTGGAGGAAATATAGTGAACATTATTAGCGCTTACGCCTCTCAAATAGGATTAGATGATCAGACTAAGAGGGATTTTTTGGAGCAAATGGATGAGATCTTACAGGAGATACCCGTAAGAGAGAACCTGATTATAGGTGGAGATTTTAATGACCATGTGGGCATAGATAAACTAGGCTACGAAAGGGTGCATGGTGGATACGGTTTTGGTGACAAAAATGAGGCTGGAAAGAGTATCTTAGATTTTGTGTTGGCTTCTGACCTGGTGGTGGCCAATACTATATGTATAAGAAGAAGGAGGAGCATTTGATAACCTTTAAGAGTGGATTAGTTAAGAACCAAATAGATTACTTCTTAGTAAGAAAAGTGGACCGCCTAAAATGCAATGATTGTAAGGTGATTCCTGGAGAGAGCCTAGTCTCTCAACATAGGATTTTGGTACTAGATTTATGTTTTAGAAGACAATACCAAGCTAGGAAGGATGGTGGGCGTCGTAGGACGAGATGGTGGGACCTAAAAGGGGATAAACTAGAAACATTTAAGAATCGAATGGATAGGGAAGATACTTGGGACTTAAAAGGTGTTGCTAACACTATGTGGAACTCGATGGCCAATTGTATGAGGAGAATCTCAAGGGAAGTGTTTGGAGAGTCGAAAGGAACGGGACCCAACTCTGGGAAAACTTGGTGGTGGAGGGAAGAGGTTCAAGCGGTAGTTGAGGCAAAAAAAGAGTACTTTAAAAAGTGACAGAATGATAGAACTGAGGAAAACCTTAAGAGCTATAGATTGGCTAATAAGGAGGTCAAGCAAGTAGTGAGAGAGACTAAGTTGAAAGCTTATGATGACCTATACACTAGATTAGATGGTAAAGAGTGAGAGAAGAGGGTATACAAACTTGCTAAGATACGGGAGAGAAAAACAAGAGATTTTAATCAAGTAAAGTGCATCAAGAGTTAGGATTCTAAGGTATTGGTGAAGGATGAAGAGATTAAGGAAAGATGGAAGAATTATTTTGAGAAACTATTAAATGAGGAACATGGAGGTACGGCAATAGGGGAAGAAATAGCCAATAATACGATAAACCAAGACTATAGGTTCTATCGCAGGATTAGGAATTTTGAAGTGGAGATTGCACTTAAGAAAATGAAATCCAATAAGGCTTTAGGACCCGATGATATCCCTATTGAAGCTTGGAAGTGTTTGGGTAAAAAAGGAGTTGCTTGATTGACTAGGTTGTTTAACAAAATTTTGTTGACTAGGAACATGCCAGATGCATGGAGAAAGAGTATTTTAGTGCCAATCTATAAGAATAAAGGTAACATCCAAAATTGCAACAATTATGGAGGAATCAAGCTAATGTGTCATATAATGAAAGTGTGAGAGAGGGTGATGGAACGCCGATTGCGAGAAATAACAGAGGTGTCAGAGAATCAATTTGGGTTTATGCCTGGTAGGTCAACAATGGAAGCGATCTATCTTTTAAGGAGAGTAATAAAAAAGTATAAAGAAAAGAAAAGAGACATTCATATGGTGTTTATCGACCTTGAGAAAATATATGATAGAGTGTCACGGGATATAATATGGTGGGTGCTAGAGAAGAAAAATGTGACAAAAGGTTACATTGACGTGATTAAGGACATGTATGAAGGGGTGGTGACCACTATTAGATCGCCAACTGGAGAGACAAATGAATTTCCTATCACTGTAGGGTTACACCAAGGATCTACCTTAAGTACTTATCTTTTTGCTTTAGTTATGGAGGAGTTGACTAGAAATATTCAGGATAACGTGCCATGGTGTATGCTTTTTGCAGACGATATTGTGCTAGTGGATGAGACTAGAGAAGGAGTTAACACAAAGTTGGAGATTTGGAGAACAGCTCTTGAATCTAAAGGATTCCGGATAAGCAGAACTAAGACAGAGTACATGGAGTGTAAATTTAGTAACAGTAATAATGAAAGCAGAGGAGAAATAAAGATTAAGAACCAAGAACTGCCTAAGAGTGAACATTTTCGTTATTTAGGGTCGATTATCACGACGACGGGAGAGATTGATGCAGATATGGCCCATAGGATTAAGACGGGATGATGTAAATGGAGAAGTGCGTCTGGGGTATTGTGCGATAAACGAATACCTACTAGACTAAAAGGTAAGTTTTATAGAACGGCTATTAAACTAGTTATGTTGTATGGGACGGAGTGTTGGGTAACCAAGAAATAACATGTAGATAAGATGAGTGTGACTGAGATGGGGATGCTAAGGTGGATGCGTGGTAAGACTAGACAAGACAGAATTAGGAATGAGTGTATTCGGGAATGGGTAGGAGCAGCACTGATAGAAGATAAGTTGAGAGAAAATCGATTAAGATAGTTTGGTCATATTCAACGGAGACCAGCAGAGACAGTAGTGAAGAGATGCGATGCTGTAACGATAGATGGAAATGTTAGAAGACGAGGTAGGCCTAAATTAACATTGGCTAGCGTTATAAATAGAGATACAAATCTACTTAATTTGACTAATGAAATGGCTTTTGATAGGGCCGCATGGAGAAGAAGGATTAATGTAGCCGACCCCATTTGATGGGGCTTAAGGCTTTGTTTGGTTTGGTTATATTTATAACAAACTATAGGTCTTTTTATCTACAAATTATTTTCAATTTCACGTTATAAATAGAGATATGAATCTACTTAATTTGACTAATGAAATGGCTTTTGATAGGGCCGCATGGAGAAGAAGGATTAATGTAGCCGACCCCATTTGATGGGGCTTAAGGCTTTGTTTGGTTTGGTTATATTTATAACAAACTATAGGTCTTTTTATCTACAAATTATTTTCAATTTCAAGCTTATAGTATCCACATTAAAAAAACAACAAAGTCATTATTTGTGTTGACACAAACCTAAATCAAATTTGACATGCTATAATCTCACTATTTCCTAATTCTTCTTCTCTAAGAAGTACGCAAAGTATTGAAAATTATTCTTGTATTTATCTTAAAAATTACACTCTAATGCTACCCAAGAAATGCCACATCTCAGTTTCAAGATGGATCTGATATGTGACCCAACCCAAGGTATATGAAAAGAAAAGTATCCCATATTTCTTTAAGATTAAAGAAAATTAATTTCAAATTATGGATATCATATACGTATCCACAAATATCTGAGGAGTATAGATATCCGATGCGGTAATGACTCCCTTCTAGAAGTATCCATGCCATATAGTTGGAGAATAATATGTCAAAGATCATTCCAATTTTCATTTCCTTTCTTCACAAGATTCAAGTAAATTGTTCCCATCCGCACTCCTAGCAAATACAAAATGTTAACACCACCAAGTATGCCTAATAAAACCATTGCAAAAGTGATGTAGCAAACCAGAAACATAAAATTGGGGCTCCACCACTCTAAAAACACACATACATAGCCTAAATGATAACATTGTCATATACTAACTAATAAACAATCAAGGGAAAAATTAAAAATAAAAAGTGTCCTATAACACCAAGGTCAATAACAGAATATTATTGCTAAATTAAACTCCTGCATACAACATGTTGTATGACATCCTTAAAATGCAACCAACTCAATCACAATATAATGAAAACTAATCAAAATAATATATGTACATATAAATTATACATAATGAAAGAATCATCAAGACCTTGTTCCTTTCTCCATTGCCATGATTTGGGTTATCATGCACTTGGTTTTCAGCTATCTGAGCAGCAAAGATGAAGTCCACTAGTTCGCTGATTGGAGCATCTTCACCTGATAATATGCAGGATCAGGCTAGAAAACTCAAGAACACAACTTTTCATACATGTTACAATAATGAGCCATAATATACATCTAGACAGAAAGCTACATTGAGCATTCAGTCTTACGTGTAGCAGAAACAGCAAATAAAGAATACTATTGAAATCTTGATTTGAAAATAATAAAATACTTCTAAAATATAAGCACATCATAGGGAATTTTCTGTGTATGTGCATGCATAAGATTTATAATTATCGATTTGAACCCTCAGTGTTGGACTCAAAAAATCCTAAAATCTTGGCATGTTGATATCGCTGTAGGAGTTTTGTACTTGAAAGTCTCAAGCTTATACTCACTAAAGTTTATCAAAAAAGCAAGACTTTTTCAAGATCTCCACATATCAATTATTATATATACTTTTGGAAGTTTATATGGTAAAATAGAAAAGAACAAATGCTAAATCCATACAATACAGAGGAAGATAGGCTAGAAGGAAAGCATTCCACAATAAAATTTAAATTTCAGAAACTTTCACATACCAAGCTTATCCATTGCAAAATTGACTTCATCCAAAGAGAAATTCATCATCAGCAAGGATGCTCTTCTGTCATCATTATCTACGTCAAATACATCAGGCTCCTGCAGTAGACTGAAGATTAAGCCAAACCACGGATGACGGAAAAAAATCCAAAAGCTTAACAAAAAAGACTATCGACACAGTTGTTGTCCCCTAATGAAATGGGCAATCTAGTGTTAATAGATAATAATACTAGGGCAACTTGATACAAAGTATGTGTATATAAATAACTTCTCTCTTTATATGTTCCTTTAGGTAGCTGGATGTCCTGAGTTTTTGGGCATAATTGTGGAGAGCTCAAGAAAGTGGTTGGGACTCCTTGAGGCGGTGGCTAACCTCCATTTCATTTATAAAATGTCAAATAGACAATTCCAAATTAACCCAGTACAGAATACAAAGGAAACAATCACAACTATCACACAAACAAAAACCCAAAAGGTACCTCTTTTGGACATATTTGTGCTGCAAAATTGGGGGAACTGCTTGTGTCCTTGTCATCACCAAACAAGCTATCAAGTGAATCTGACAATTCACAATATGATTTGTGAAGAACCTGTTACATACTGAAGCAGGTCAGCTACTAGTGTTTATAACTTCAAACGAAAATGCTGACAGTGAGATGCAGAAAGTGAACCAATGTAAATTTTGAGTCTGTACAATGCAAACAATGTCACATCCCCACACACACACACACACACAAAAAAACAAAAATCATAAAAACGAAAGTTTGATTGTGATTCATTTTGCTGCAATCAAGTGTTGTTTTCAATATCATTGTACAAGTCCTTCACACAAATTCTGTAACCAATTTCTCTTAGCCTTTCACTCTCAAGTAACGGTTGTCTTTATCTAATGTGAAGTATTTGGAAAGAGAGTCACCATAGTTTTGAGGATGTAGAGCAGTCTATTCAGAAGTTGAAACAAGATTTTTCGTTTGTTCTCTTTGGGACACAGAGTGAATCTTACCATAGAACATTTTTTTTAAGTTTTGGATTAATTTTGTACTAGGTGTATTTCCATTTCAAACTCCTAGGGTGCTCTTCTGAAATTTTACTTTATTAAAAAAGGAGAGGTGGAAGACAAAGAAAACAACATTCTCTGTTTCCAGATAGCGACTTGTAAGATAGCACAAGAAAGATTTAACAAAGCAAATCTATATTGACTCTTTTCTGGGAAAAAGTTTCAACACACATAGAATTTTGCAAAATAGACATTAATTTCAAGTAAATGGCTCCACTAGATACTATGAAACCAAAACCACCAACAAAAAGTCCACTCAAACGTATCTGCTAATAAAAGCAGCAAAAAGCCTTTAATCCCAATTACTTGGGATGTACTACATGCATCTTTCTTCTCCCATAAATCCAAGTCATTCGCTAAGTTGAATGCAATCGTTCCATTTGACCTCTCAATTAATCAAAAGTAGAACAAATCTGTTCACTAGCTTTGTCAGTTAGAACTATATCGTCCATGAAAATCAAACATCACCAAACATCCTCTTCAAACCTGGACTCTCGGTATAAAAAAAATTACTCATCACTTCCCATATTCTTCTAACACTAGTTAGAACTCCATCATACATAACTTGATACTCCCAATTTATCTTTTCCCTTCCCATATTGCATGTAGAGGAACCCTAACACATGCTTTTTCAAAGTCAATAAATATCATATAAAGGTATTCTTTACCTATAGTTCTCCAACCACCCAAGTAGATGATAATAGTTTCCATCATAGACATAAACTGAACTTAAGTTTTTTGTCATCTATTTTCTTTTTTTTCTTCCTTTTTTTTTTTTTTTTTTGATAAATAAGCAAACTTTATTGAAAAAGCATCAAGATGATGCAAAGAATACAAAACCAATCCTAAAAGCTAGCAGCAAACATATACAAAAACAACGCTAAACAGCAAGACAAGAGCAAACAAAACAGCTATTGAATCAAGTACTCTACAAAGTCAACAAAAGTCAAAACATCAAGATCCACTGTCAACGATATCCAGCTATGCAGCACAATGAACAAACACCGCTCCAACCATGTGTAAAATATATGTATTATTGATTGATATCTTGTTGATATAATGTCTATTACAAATGGTTCCTTATATAGATGTACGTGTAGTGGATGGTGGTAGTGGTGTAGTGGGTTAGGTTTAGTGGAGTAGGTGAGGTGGTAGTGGTGGTAGGTGATGGTAAATTCTAACAGCCCCCCATACATAACTTGATACTCCCAATTTATCTTTTCCCTTCCCATATTGCATGTAGAGGAACCCTAACACATGCTTTTTCAAAGTCCATAAATATCATATAAAGGTATTCTTTACCTATAGTTCTCCAACCACCCAAGTAGATGATAATAGTTTCCATCATAGACATAAACTAAACTTAAGTTTTTTGTCATCTACTTTCTTTTTTTTCTTCCTTTTTTTTTTTTTTTTTTGATAAATAAGCAAACTTTATTGAAAAAGCATCAAGATGATGCAAAGAATACAAAACCAATCCTAAAAGCTAGCAGCAAACATATACAAAAACAACGCTAAACAGCAAGACAAGAGCAAACAAAACAGCTATTGAATCAAGTACTCTACAAAGTCAACAAAAGTCAAAACATCAAGATCCACTGTAAACGATATCCAGCTATGCCGCACAATGAACAAACACCGCTCCAACCATGCCACCGAATGCATCTCCCCCAAAAAAACTCACCTATTACGCTCCAACCAAACCAGCCACATCAAACAATGGCCAGCAAGCTTCCATGCCTTCCAACGTCTCTATAAGATTTTTGAATAAACTCATATATTCAATTGTCTTGGTAATACAAGAATACATTGGTTTATATAATAGTCTAACCCTAGAACGAAAAAGGAAATACGACTTATTTCAATCCCTAATATATACAAAATATATATACTACCATAGTACCATATATACATAAAATCCCTAATATATTCTCACACCCCCGCTCAAACTCAAAGTATTTTAGCAGAAAACACTGAGAGTTTGCCAAGAAGAAACTGAAACTGAGCAGCGGTGTGAGTCTTGGGAGAAGAAGTTAACAAGTTGAAGAGCTGAAGAGACGAAAGGAAGAGAAATAGAGCCAAACTACAGATGTTGTCGAATAAAGTGACAATCAATCTTAATATGCTTCATGCGCTCATGGAAGACAGTATTATGAGCAATCTAAATAGCACTGCAGTTGTCGCAATAGAGAGAGGTCGGAGAAGACTGAGATACACCCAAATCAGATAGAAGACAACGAAACCAAACAATCTCAACAGTAGCATGAGTCATAGCACAGTACTCAGCTTTGGCAGTAGAGCGAGTAACAACAGTTTGTTTTTTACTTTTCCAAGAGATCAATGGCCAAGAAACAATACAGAAACCAAACGTGGACTTGAGATCAGTGACATCACCAGTCCAATCAAAATCAGCATAAGCCACCAAATCCAAAGAGGAAATAGAAGACAATAGTAAGCCCTGCAAGATAGTACCACGAAGATAGCGAAGAATCTGATCCAAAGTAGCCCAATGTGTAGAACAAGGAACATAAACAAACTAGCTAACCACATGAACAGCATAGGCAAGATCAGGACGAGTAACCGTCAAATAGACTAAGCAACCCACAAGATCTTGATATAAAGTAGCCAAAGGAATACCATCAGTAGTGTTGAGCTTCACCTTAAGTTCAATGGGGGTATCAGAAAGCTTAGTGTCAGTAAGACTGGCCCGATGAATAATCTCATTGGCATACTTGGCCTGAGGCCAAAAATAGCCCTTGGGAGAAGAAGCAGCCTCAATACCAATAAAATACCTCAATGGGCCCATATCCTTCATTTCAAAAGTGCGAAAGAAGAGATGTTTGGCCTTAGAGTTATTAGAACAGTCAGAGCCAATGATGATCATATCATCTACATACAGTAATAAGACAACAAAACCAGTAAAGGTGTAAAGGAGAAACAAAGCGAAGTCATGGGCACTAGGATGAAACCCAAGCTCAGTAACAGCTGTCTGAAAACGATCATACCAAGCACAAGGAGATTGTTTCACACCATACAAAGCACGCTATAGACGGCAAACCTGTCCAGAGAAATGAGGAAGGCCAGGGGGAGGACGCATATAAACATCCTCAGTGAGATGGCCATTAAGAAAAGCATTCTTAATATCCATTTGATAAAGAGGCCAATAACGAATAGCAGAGACAGAGATCAAAGTACGGACAGTAGTCATTTTAGCAACAGGGGCAAATGTTTCCTCATAATCAATACCATATTCCTGTGAGAAACCTTTTGCAACCAGACAAGCTTTGTAGCACACGAGAGAACCATTAGAATGAGTCTTGACTTTATAGACCCATTTGCAACCAACCAGATTTTTACTAGCAGACAAAGGAACCATCTCCCAAGTAGTAGTCTTCTACAAGGCAAACAACTCATCCTCCATACCTCTAATCCAATTAGGATCTTAACAGGCTTCCTTATAAGATTGGGGTTCTGAAAAAGAGTGCATAGCAGACAAAAAGGTGTAATACGTTTTAGCAAAATCAAATTTGTCTACCTGTTTACGGATGCGAAGGGGATACTTACGATTGGCAAGATCAGAGTCGTCAGGGGCAGGAGAGTAGGCAATAAGGGCAGTGATAACCGGTGGAGGGAAAGCCTGGCGACGAGAATAGACTAACAACGGAGGAGGAGACGGAGATGGAGCCACAGGGGAGCGAGGAGGAAGAGAAGAGGAAACAAACTCATATAGGTCAATGGAAAAAGACTCAGCAAGAGGGGTGGTAGAGGGAACAAGCTTATGGGAAACAGTAAAGATGTACTCATCCGAAGGGACCTCAGAAGGAAATAGATCAATGTGAATCAAATCCTCTTTGGAAACAGGAGCAGTGATAGGGGAAAACTGAAAGTAAGACAGACGTTTGAGAAAGGCAACATGGTTGGAGACATAAAGGCGACGAAAAACAGGGTTATAACAGCAATAGCCTATGTGAGTAAGACTGTAGCCTAAAAAGACACACAGAACAAACCGGACACTAAGTTTGGTCCTATCTTTATGAGGAAGAATGACAAAACAAACAGATCTAAAAACACGCAAGAAGGAATAATTGGAAAGTTAGGAGAATAAAGCCTCATAAGGAGACGACTAGAGAGTAGGGGAGTAAGCATACGGTTTGAAAGAAAAGCAGTAGTGAGAACTGCTTCATCCCAAAAAGGAGTCGGAATAGAGGCAGAGAGAAGGAGAGACCTAGCTGTTTCAAAGAGATGACGATGTTTATGCTTAGTGCAACCATTTTGGGTGGGTGCATTAGTGCAAGAGGTTTGATGAATGGTACCCAAATTGGCTAAATACTCACAAAACTCAGTTTTAAAATATTCCCCACCCAAGTCAGATCGTAACAATTTAATGGTAGCCCCAAACTGTGTAGTGATCATAGACTGAAAGGTACGATATATTTGGTAGAAGTCAGATTTATGAGTCATAAGATAAACCCAAAAATAACGGGTGCAATCATCAACAAAAGACACATAGTAAGCGAAACTCCCTTTCATGAGAAACAGGAGTATGCACAAGAGAAAGTGAAGACACAGAAACATAAATACTTTTATTAAGGCCAAGTTTGGCATGACCTAAATAATACAAAAAGTCAAAAAGTCACTATCCTATTTAAGTCACATCATCTTATTTAAATCACATCACCTCTCTAACACATCACATCAAACCCAACCCAAACCCAACTCATATAAGCTAATAAGTCAAAAAGTGCACTTTGTTAGAACATCCCAAACTAACCCTAAATGGTAAAGCTGACATTTTGGCAAGTTTACACCCCCAACATTCATCAATTTGACTAGGAAAAGCTTTACCCAATAATCTTGACTGAGCTAAAGACCGTAAACAGTCAACAGACAAATGACCTAGGCAAGAATGCCATAAAACTGACTCGACTAAGAATCTAACTGAAACGAGGAAAATGCAGCTGGAGAGGTAGATAGAGGGAGATACAAGCTTTCTACCACATAGAGATCTCAAACTCTACGGTCAATCCCAATCTGTTTCTTGGACACCCGATCCTGCACACAACAGACAGGAGAGGAAAAGATAACATCAAAACCAGAAGAATCAAGTTGACTAATAGATAATAAACTGACAGATAGCTGAAGAACATAAAGAACAGAGGGAATAGTAACAACAGGCATGGCAGAGGGTAAGACAGACCCAATAGATAGAATAGGCATGCTAGACCCATTAGTAGTATTAACAATAATAGGAGAGGGAAGGGGGATACAGTTTTGAAGTAAAGAAAGGTGAGGAGTCATATGATGAGAGGCACCTGAGTCAAAAAGTCAGATAGAAGAGAAGATACCTGAAGAGGACCTAAACAAACCTGAATGAAGAGAGGTGAGAGCAGAAGCAGATGGAGATGGCTAGAAGGTGGACAAGAGATACTGAAGCTATGCAATCTGGGCACTTAAGGAAGCCGAGTCAGTATCAGAGCTGGAGTAGTTGCAGTATAAGTAGCAAGAGGCCGATAAGTACTTGGAGCAGGACCTCGAAATTGTGTTTAAGGTGGCTGAAAAGACCGCGTAGACTAACGTCCCTTCTTGGGACAGTTGTACTTCCAATGGCCCTTCTGATGGCAAAAGGCACACTCATCAGAGGCTAATGACCCCTTCTTAGGCTTCACAATGGCCTGCAGCTGACGAGGTCTGAGTAGGAGCCAAGAAGACAGAGTCTAACTGACCGTCTTAAGATGGGTTTCCTCAGAGAGGAGCTCACGAACAACAGCAACTACAAAGGGAAGAGGAGACCGATGAAGGATGCCACCACGGATAGCCTTGTACTAGAAGAGAGAGTTGTTAAGAACTGCCCTAAATGACCCTGCTCCCAAAACTCAACATAAGCATCTAGTGCCTTGAGGTTAGATGGTTCCATGAGAGCTAACTGATCCCAAAGACCTGTCATCTCAATGTAGAAGTCCTGAATAAATTGAACCTACTGACGAGCACGTTGTTTCCAACTCATACAGCTTGGCACAGATGGACTATTGATACACCAAATAAATAGTCCCACACCTCCTTGACAGTACTGAATTTGGAAAACATCATTCTAATACAATCATCCACAAAATTATGAAACCAGGTCAGAACTTAGGCATTATCGCAATCCTAAGTGTCACAAGAAGTCACATATCCTTCTACTTTCGGGTCCGATGGACGAGAAATAAAACTAGAAATATAGCCCCATTTTTTCTGACCAAGAAGGAAATTCTTCATAATACTGGCCCAATAAGCATAATTGGCACTAATGAGTTTACATCTGATGGCTTGGATTTTGGTATCTTTATTGTAATAAACCAAAAATTAACAAGTTGAAGTATAATAATCAAATAACAAGTGGGCCAACTGTAAATAAGAGGTTACAGTATTAAGAGAATCAAAATTCCCAACAGAGAGAGAGAGAGAGATACAAACAGGGCAGCACGCAGAAGTCGATCAAGAGGGCAGAGCCAAACAGCTCTTCGATCGCGTGAACTAGAGCCAGAGAGAGAGAGGGAGAGAGAGAGAGGGAGAAAGAGAGCTCCTGTTCAATAGAACCACGATCGTGATTCAAAGAGAGAGAGAGAGAGAAGCTTCTGATGATCATGAACCAGAGTCGATAGACCTAGGAAGACCAGACCACTCGACTTCAACCAGTGAAGATGAGGCACGACTTCGACTGAGGGAATGAATCAACAATTGAACTGATGCCGTGATGATGTCAAGAACCAGAGAGAGACAAGTCAAGAACTTGTTTCAATATCACGATTGGAAGAGAAGATCACCCACAACTAACGACTGAGAGAGAAATAGTTTCTAGGGTTTTTGGCTCTGATACCATGTAAGATTTCTAAATAAACTCATATATTCAATTGTCTTGGTAATATAAGAATACATTGGTTTATATAACAATCTAACCTCATAATGAAAAAGGAAATACAACTAATTTCAATCCCTAATACATACATAGAATCCCTAATATATTCTCAGTCTTTTCCCAACTCTCCCTCCAACCCAACTTTGTAACACCGCCCTCACTGTCCCTGGTTGAATTACAAACCAGCCCAACTCATCTACTTTCTTAATCATCACTCACTTAGACTCTTCCAAGTTTACTTATATGAATTACAAGTTTATTGCCAGGAAACTTAGTACAAATTTGAATATCATCTTTGTTCTTATGTACACGTACCATGGTGCTTTTCCTCCATTTATGAGGCATCTCCTTAGTCCTTAAAATCTTGATAAACAAATGCGTCAACTAAAACTTATGCAGCAAAAGGGTTTTTCTAAATGAAGCTGCATGAAACAAGTTGATGTAATGAAATAATTGAAGTTTTAGACATTTAACCTAATAAGACTAGCATCATAACACTATATTATGCAGCATACTATTCTGTGTGGAATGACCAAATATAAATAAATAAATAAATTTAGTAAATGGAACCAGCATTATACACTTGAATTAAACCAAAAGAGAGTTAGAACCAAGGTAGAATATAGAATCTCCAAAAAAGAGTTAGACTTTAGGATTTCCTAAAGTCTAATCTGATTAATATATTGAAACCAGCTGTAGCAAATACGATCATTAAATCAATCGCTTCGCCTTGTCCAAACTGGTCGAATAAAATCTCCACATCTGCACATACCAAAGAAACTCAAGTGTGCTGCACAACCAAGGTGACAGCAAATACCTCTTTTGGATGGCCATCTGCAACTATTTCATCCTTCTTGCCAATAAATAAGCCATCGAGAGAATCTGAAGATTCAGATTGTGATTTTTGAAGAGCCTGTTGCATTCCAAAGCATGAATCTTTAGTCAATCAATCTCCAGCTGTAAAACATGAAAAGCATAATGAATTGCACAATTGATGCACTTGAAGAGAATGTAGGTAATGGAAACATATTACTTCTGGAGGCACCATTAGTTTATTTAGATTTTCCACGGTAAATACAAGAACATAACAACAGGTATTTTGCTTCTATCTCCGCACTCCAAAACCAGATTCCTCACAGGATCAATGTAATTAATACACTGAATAACAACTACCACTCTACAATCATGACCTGACAGAAAACAAATGAAGATTTTGGCAAAGTAGACTAACAATACTCAGCTAAAATGCAGGAAAATTCTAAATGCAACAGCCAAGATTGGAAAAAAATTAAGAACAACTAAGCAGCACCACTGAGTTCTGACATCAGGGTACACATTTCACACATTATATTCCATTTGATGAAAAAGTAAGTGCTGCTGATACATGGATGAAACAGAAACATGATTTTTCTCATTGAAGATGCCATGGTCACCAATTGTAATTTGAGAATGAATCATCACTATAAAATGTTCTCATATTCGGGAATTAACTGCAATTAGATCATAAAGTAGTTGTCAAAACTTGTGGAAGCCACAAAATCAGGTGATGATCCAGGACATAAGAATGTAACAAATCAAGACTTTTTTTTCAGTACGCTATGATACAAGGGGTAGGGGAAAAGTTGACATGATACAGCCAAGAACAAAAGGGCACAATCCAAGCACCACCTCTCCAATGCCTGGCTTTTGTAGGGGTGATGGAACTTTATATCATGGCAGTCCTATACAGATGTCTGTACGTATGAGTTGCCATCACTCATAAAAGACATAAGGTGCCATCACCCTTTCAAAAGCTAGGGCTTTTCAAAGTTGTTGCACAGATTACCCCTTATTATTGCTCCCAACTCTACCATGTCAGATTTACTCCTTCCCCATGTACTATAACTTAGCAAAATATAAAATCAAATTGAATACAAGGATGTGTATGCAATAGAAAGAACTCCAGATGTGTTCAAAATATGCATGAACACTCAAATTGCTGAATTAAATGAAGCCTGGAGGTAGCTTCAACCATTGACAAGCATCCATCTAAATGCAAGACTACTGTGAACCATTGGGCTACTAGGCATTAATGATTGGGTCATTTGTAAATCAGATGTATAATAATAATAATAATGATTAAAAGTGAATAAGTATTAAATGAGTGAATAAATACATAACAGACAGTTAATCTTGAGATATCTGACTCATACTTTCCTCAGCTTAATTAACATAGTGACAATTTTACAAATATTTGCCAACTAAAACAAGCCAAAATTAAACTACACAGAAATATTCACTCACAGAATATGCAAAGAGCGTCTCCAGTAACAAGTCAACATTGTCTTCACCTAGATTGAAAAGAAAGTCTTCTGGTCAATATCATTAAAGATGGTGATAAAGTCATTTTATTGATGAAAAAAGAAGTTTAACAGAGAAAAGTAAAATTCTAAAGTTTGCAATTGTGCACTACATACCCTTTTCTTCAATCACTTTGTCAACAAGAGATGGTGAGAATCCCATCCCTATTAAAGACGATCTTATATTGCTACTTGATGAGCTCGCAACATTGTCCTAGAATAGATATTTTCCCAACAGGAAAAGAAAAAAAAAAGGGGGACACGAGAGAGAAGCAACAAAAATAAGAATTTATCTTGTGTAAAACTAACCATCCAATTTCTAACTAATTGCCAGGAAAGGTAAACAACTCAATCCACATATCAAGTGACACAAACAAAAACAAAAAAAAATACATTACTACACAAGGGAATGCCAAAAGAATTTATACATGATCCATGCTCAAATTTTAAGATTCAAATCTCAGAATCAATGTAGAAAAGTGCGTATGAAAAAGCATGAATGTGCCGAGTGCTTAACCCGAACCCTGATTTTGTTAGGAAGCCTAGTGAAAGAAAAACAATCCTTGGTATACAATAAGAATCCTAGACATAGAAGGTAATGTAAAGAAACCAGATTTAGATCACCACGAAAAAGCGAAAAAACAAAAAGAAAGAAGGAAAAGTTTTCCCCCATTGAATTTATAGCGACAACCATAGTTGTCAAATCAGAATTCGTATCGTGAATCGAAATAGCCTCATACTGAATCGCGAATCGAATCATGTATCATAAAGATTCGGCCACTTTTTCTAAATTACTTAAAAACATATATCTACACATTTAGATGTTAAATATGTCTGACAAATATGAAATATTTAGACTTAAATCAATAAAACTGTTATTTTGAATAATAATCACATATTTTAATAGGTAAGAAGTTAACAAAGGTTCCTATGTAAAATACCATCTTACCTTTTTTTTTTTAAAGATATTTTTTATCAACCATTCTTAATAAAGATAATAACCAAATAGACAAATTATCAATTTCCAAAATAACAATAATTAACAACGATATTGATATTTGGACAACAAGCATACATACTTTTCTAAGTAACAGTGAGCAAATAATAAGAAAGAATTATTTATAATCTTTTATTTTAAAGCCTAAAGTATTTTAAAAGGTATAAATATAATCGATATCACACATGTAATATTTAATTATATTAAATTTAATAAAATAGCAATAGATAATTCAGAGTGTAACTTTAATCTTAAACATCTTTAGAAGATATATTCTGATTTTTTAAAGGGGAAAAAAAATCAAAAGAAAGGTTAAAAATATGTTAGGTGTGACTGAATCTGATTAGATCCTATTAAAAACTTCATGATCACTAAAATAACAACAAATTATGTATATATGTTGGTTATTTTGGTATTAAACACTATTAGAATTTGTATAATGTCATTTTCACTAAAAAGATGGAGGAAAAAAAAGAGTCAAAAATATGTCGGACACAATAATTTCAAAAATTGCATGAATCGTAAAAAGTGAATCGAATCGTGAATCGTGTGATTCACTAGAAATTCACCCATAGATTCGTATCGATTTTGCAAAATTTGCAAATCAAATCGCGAATCGTAAGATTCTAATAACAGAGGCGACAACTTACAAGTAACAAACAGAATAAGCTCTATCTCCTGTCAATTCCATACAATGTTACAGGACATTAATGAAAGGATCTCTGCCAGAGAAGTGCAATCTAATGTATCTATAACCTAAACAGTGTAAAATACTATAATATATCAATATAAGGGGTTAAAATACAAGTATTTCTTGAGAAAACAGGAAATTATATGACTTCATAGCATAGACAAAAAAAAAAATCTTCTCCAACATAAGTCTAGTATTATTTTCCTTAGCCGCACCAGATTCTGCAATCTTAAGGCTTGATCCTACTGCCATAAATGTCAAATAAATAGCAGACTTTAAATGCAAAACACATGAAATGGTCTTCATCTGCATTTATAGCTAGCATTTTTTTTTCTATGGATGGCAACAGGAGATACTACAAATGCTTTTAAGGTCAAAAAGGAAAAACAAGGACAGTTTGTAAAAGGCTTGAAATCTTAAGGCTTGATCCAACCAACATAAACTGTCAATTAAATAGCAGACTTTAAATGCAAAACACGTGAAATTGTCACCATCTACATTTATGGCAGCATTTTTCTCCATAGATGGCAGCAGGAGATACTTTTTTTGGGTGAATAACAGCCGAAGATATTATAAATGCTCTTAAGGTAAAAAAAGAAAAACAAAAAAGGACAGTTTTCATTGCCCAATGAATTGTTCAATGAAGGTTGCCACATGAAAGGAGGGCAACTAGATGGACATCTTCGAGGAACACCAGAGGCACTACATGTAAGTTTTCTTTTTAAACAATATAGTGACCTACAATGTTTGTCCAGCATATCATAGAATAGTGTCAACACTTCAAAATGTGTAATCATGATAATCCTGTTGTAGCATTCTGTTTTTGTCCAGCATCTTTCATAAAAATTTCCAAGTGGTATGAGTATGCTATATGAAATTACAAAGGGTATACTGTATAGTATTCATGGTTCGGGACAGTGTATTTGCCAATATTGTTTTCATTGCTACCAAAACTTTTCAAATGAAGCTGTTTATTGAGCTGCCGTGAGTTTCCATGAAAAATATGGAACAGCTTTTGCAATGATCCATTATTCGTAGCAAACAATGGAAAACATAATATAAAGGAGAGAGAAAAAACACTGACCAAAGATAACTACCATAAGATATTTAAAAACAATGTAGAGCAATTAATTATCTACAAAAGATAGCCACCATACCCCCATACGGCTCAAGTGCATGTGCTCTGATGGTGAGTCCAAACCCAAAATCTCAATTTTTGGCATGGTTCCAGCTCCACTATCTGGTTCCAGTGAATTTCCGATGTCCATAAAATCTATTCTCTCGCACTACAATGTAAGAAATAACATACATCAAATCAACTGCATCATAAGACAAATAATGGCTAACAATTATGCATACCATTTTGACATGGGGGAAAAAAAAGAAGAAGAAGAAGAAGACAGCAAAGCTTGAAATGAATAGTTCATATAATAACACAAACTGCATAGACTCAACCTGTCTCTGTGTCTGCAAAAGAAATAATCAAATTAGCCTAAGGATGGACTGAAGGAACACCCAACCCAACTTTTAAAACTCCCGGGAATGCAGATCTATTAAACAAACAAGCAGCATGTATAAAAGCATATCCAAAGTTGTATTATGGACTTTGGAGGGTATGCCAAGAGTAAACAGCTTGTTATATCACCAAATGCATAAATCCGTGGCACCTGGAATGGGGAACATCAACATAGATGTAAGTAAGCAAACAAAGCTTCTCACATTATAATTGCAAACAAATTAAAAGAATCCACATATGTAACTTTGGCCTTAGGTGATTGAGCTTTGAAAAAGTCATGGAACAAGATAAGCGCAAGATTGGCTTCAATCCATGCTGGCTTGAAAAACAATGATGAATATTTTCGTTATTGAACAACCAGTGCCAAGATTTATGGAAAATAATAAATTAACATATAAGGTCTTTATTAATTATATTAAAATTGAGCACAAATAGGTCCTCAGAGATCCCAACAAAAAAACAAAACAAAAAATAGCATGAAGGAATTTTGAAATCGGCGAAATCAATGATGGCACCAGTAATATACCATATCATACATTATACATACCCGATTTGGTATGCTGAAATAATCAACATATATTTGTTCCAATAAATTTGATGTTCTGTAGTTAGAAAAATAGACATCAACTTAAAAGACTAATCCAAAAAGAATTTTGCTTTACAACAATTACATTACCAAGGAAGATGAATGAGTGTGAGTGTGAGTGTGAGTGTGAGTGTGAGTGTGAGTGAGTGTGTGTGTGTGAGTGTGTGTGAGTGTGTGTGTGTGTGAGAGAGAGAGAGAGGGTAGTATCAATTTGTAGCAAATGTATGCCCAGAAACCAGCAGAGGAAACAATCAATGAAATTAAGCACAAGAATTTCTTTAAAAAAAGAAGATGAATCGCATACATTAAACATAGATACATGTGTGTGAATTTAGATACGTGTGGCAGGACAGGAGACAGGATTTGGCTCGGAGGGACCAACATCAAGCCAAAAGATTACCCTTTTATACCCAAAAAAAAATTAAATAAAATCTCTAGACTTGGCCGACTTTCGCGGGTATTCTTTGAAATTTCATCATTATGCGATAGATCATTGCAATTGTTTATACACCCGAAAACAAAATAAAATAAAATAAAAACAGAGAGAGAGAGAGAGAGAGAGAGAGAGAGTAGAAATGTGATGCAAGGCAAATGAACAAAAATGAAAATGAAGGTAGAATGGAAGGTAAAATAAGCAGAAATTGAAAAATCAACATCAGAAATCATTAACGTTCAACCATACCATACCTAGAAGAAGAAGATGAAGATGAAGATGAAGTGGATGAGGATGCGGTAGTGAAGATTCTCTGATGCAGCGGCGCGTAGAGGCTACACTCGACGCCGTCGCTGGATTCTCGGTGAACGTTACAATTAATTAAGATTCTCTCTCTGTGTGGAAAAGCTGAACTGAGAAATAATGGTGGTGAGTGAGAAAGAGAAAGACGAACAGAACAGAACAGAACAGCTCAGAAAAAATCCAGACCCCAAAGTCTAAGCCAGCGCAGAGTACGAGACACCGCTTACTGGACTACTTCGGTCCTTCAAATGGCCTGTTTGGTTCATTCTACTGCTTGTAGGTTTTTGTTTTTTTTAAGGCAAGTTTGGAAAATAGGATTGCCTAAATATCCGTTCAAATCGGTAATTTGGATCGAATCAAATTGAATCATACGGTTTGATTTTGTTCTATTAAAAATTGATTCAGTTTCAAATTAAGAAATATGAGAATCATAAAAACTGTTCGGCTACTAGATTTTATGAAAAATCTCGATTCGAATTGAATCGAAACGAATTTCGAATCGAATTTTAAAAGATATATATATAATATCAAGTTTTATTTTTATTAATTGGTTTTTTATAATTTTAATGATATTATGATAGTATAGATATGTAGTATTAAGTAATGCCTTAATATTATTAGTTTTTATCATGAGTTAAATGTAATTAGTTTGAGTAATTATTTTACTAATATTAACAATTTATTCTTGTAAATAGAAATTTTTGAAACCGTAAACCAAACCGAAATCGAACCGTTTTTTCAATTTGGTTCTGGTCGTGTTTTACAAGTGTAATGGTCTAGTCTAGTTCTCAAAATCACAGAACCGTTATGATCGGTTCGATTCTTGAATTTTCTCTGAATCGAACCAATTCAGACCGTGTACACCCCTATTGAAAAATACATATTTTAGTCAAAAGATTAAAAAAATTTAATTTTTATTTTAATTTTTTTTATATTTTTTATATTGTAAAAACACTAATAAATTAAATAAATTGATTATAGAGAGAAATGTTCTATTTTTTAATTTTTATTATTAATTTTCAACGTATTTGGCATCACTTGTTGGGCTAACAAAAGGGTTAAATAAATTAAGAAAATATAATTTTGTAAGATAAGTTTACCAAAATATCTTTTATTTTGACCATTAGTAATTATTGAAATTAGTCCAGAGTCCCTCTCTCACTTTTTGTAATAGAAGAGATCTACAAAATTATGTTTTGATGTCTAAGGTCCCTAAACATATATCAGAGAAATTTGACTCTTTGTCTTTACTCTACTCTCTCTCTCTCTTCTCCTCCCACCCACTGTCTTCCAGATCCAAGGCAACAAGCCATGCTCCTCCACCCTCCTCTCCACCCTCCTCTACGATCTCTTCCTCAACACCTTCTCCTCCGACTCCTCCCTCCGCTCCGCCACCGTCGCAGACCTCTGAGCCGTTCGGATCCGCGACCCGGCCTTCCTGTCCTTCTCCAATGGCGCACTCTAGCAACCTCCCCTACGATGGAGACGGCAGTTGCATGATCTGAATCTCATCGACAAGCCAGCCATTTTTTCAGTCAGAGGTGGCGAAGGTTGCTAAGATTTCAAAGTGATGGCAAATATTTGATCTTAGTTTCAAAAAGATCAAGTCTCCATAGGCAAGATATCTGGTCAAACATGTCATCGGGTAGTTCTGTCAAAGCAATGCAACCACAAAGATCAAGCACCTCCAGTTTTGTAAGGGGATTCAAGTCTACCAACTCCTCCAAGTACGCACAAGAGGGAACCAGCTCTGGACAGCCACTTAGCAAGAGATGCGTGAGATATTTAAGATTCTTAATCAATGGTATGTAGCAGAGGCCCCAAGAATTTCTCAAATTTCTCTGGATTCAACCCAGAAAAATTTGAATTTTCTCTGGATTCAACCCAGAGAAAATTCAAATTTCTCTGGGTTCATTTTGACCGATTTTAACTGATAATTCAGTGCTTCAAAAGTATTAACCAAAGTATAAGACTTTTTTGTATTCAAGCTATACAGAACAATAGTTATTTTGAATCTTGATGCATTGGATTTAATAGAATTGTTATTTTGAACTGTCATAATTATGTTATAGCAGTTGGGTACTTCAATGGAAATGTCATTGAACTTGTTAAATTTTGCCATTGCTATCAAACGTTTGATGTATTTTATAGATGAGAGAATTTTCCTGAATAGATACATAAATTTTCTCTCCACAATTTTCTCTGAATTTCTTTGGTACTTAGAGAAATTTCAATTTTCTTTGGTTTGAATCCAGAGAATTTCTCTGGGGAGAAGTTCAATTTTCTCTGGAGAGAATTTCTCTGGATTGATATTGAGGGACCTTAGACATCATGAAAATATTTGATGTCCTTTATACTATAAAATCATAATATCAGGGACCTTAAAAAAAATACCCTATTTTTTAATTCTTTTCTCGTAAACTCTGAATATCAATCTGAAATCTCATATCAACAAAGCCTAAATCTCATCTATATAAAACCTTAAAGTTACGATCATACTTATATGCTAAAATAAATTTGAGGTTTTTATGGAAAAAAATTGAAAGTTTAATAGTCAAGAATTTTTTTGTAATCTTTTCACATATTGTCAATAAAGTCTTGTTTTCATCTTTATGACCTCATCTTTCCTCTTTTGTGTGCCAATATTTTTTTCACACTCCTCTTTATTATTACCGGTTTGCTTCATTATTTTTCAGGAAAAATTTTTTTTTCAATTTTTGCATAGGGAAGATTCATGGGACTTATTTTCCTATGTAAAAATTGAAAAAATATAGAAAAAAATTACCCATGAATCCTAAATGGGAAAAAGTTAAACCATTTAGTTCTGAGAGTTTTCTTGTACACCAATTAATCATAATTTTTTGGTAATTGTTATTTAGATGGTTTTGAATTTATTATGATTTTATATTGTTGTCCTTGGTTGGTTTGTGTTTCCATAATTAATTGGTTGATATGCGGAGGGGATAAGGAAACCCATCTAAATAGTGGAGGGAGTCCGTTTTAAATTGTTCATTTCGTGGAGTTATTGTTTGGGGCTATTGTCTGGGGTGTTGGACATTTGCATTCTAGCGGCGACGGTATTACGGGTTTGTGTTCATTTTCCGGTGGTTTTTTGATCTGTTTCATCAGGCGTGGTCTACAGTCATCATAGTGTAACAAGTCAGTAATTTGATTGTGTTGCTGTGTTTTTATTTTTTTTTTTCCGGTGGTGTTGGTGATGTGTCGTGAGGGGTGTTTTTGGTGTGTTGGGGGGATCGCGTTGTGTTTGTTCCAGCGGTAATTACTGGTATGGTCTGTTGTTTTCTTTTGTTTTGGTACATAGTCATTAGTATACAAATGAATTACAGAGAAAATGGAGATTATAAAAACATCACCAATGTTGTGGTGTTGTTTTCTTGTGTTTTGGTACAAAGTTATTAGGATACGATTGAATTACAGAGAGAAATGGTGATTGTAAAAAACATCACCAATGTTGTTAACGTTAACAGCAGTTGTTTATTAAAAAAAAATCGATTTCGCAGTAATGGCACATACCGTTGAAGGTAATAACACGTACATATTGTTGGGTTTTCTTATATGCACGTTAAATTCGATTTGTTGTATTGTGTTTTCAATAACGGGTTCGAAAATGTTGGCATTACAGGTATGGGTGATGGTATATTATTTGTGTGCACGTACGGTCAGACTAATGTTCTGGTTCGGTTGCAATATGGGTGGACATTTGCACAGTTGGTTGATGTTATTTGTGGGAAATTTGATGAGTTGGTACCGAGTGTAGTGTGTATGCTGTTTGATATCCCCGGATATAAGAAGGTTAAGGTGGATAGTGATAATGATATCCATAATATGTTGTGTCTTGGTAAGTTGTTCGGGCTAAATCACATTGATGTTTTAATACAGGCCCGTAACATTGGGGCGGGGGGCAATGATGTGGTGTTGGATTGTGTGGAGGACGATGTGAATCCCCTTGGTAATCCGATTTTTGGCCATGACGATCAAACGAATTTATTACCAACATATTACCCAAACAAGTCGAAGACTTTTTTGTCCGCTCAATGGGCGTATGGGATTACCCATATAGGTCAATGTTTCAACGGGGCAGCTTACGAATTCTGTGAAGTTCTATGTAAATATGTAGTGGAACGTGGATTCCAATTCAAGTATGTTAAAAATGATTCGGTTCGGATTACTGTAGTGCACAAGTTTACAGCGTCCACGGGATGTACGTGGTCAATACATGCGCGAGTGTTACCATTGAGCGGGGTGTTATGTGCTAAGAGGTTCGATAGTGTCCATAATTATGGCACTACGGTACGGACTTATAGGAACCCGCGAACGGGCTCTGAGTTGGTTTATGGTGTTGTCGCAGATCGGATGCGTGGCTAGCCGTTGGTACGCCCCACAGATGTGGTGTTTGATTTGAAAAATGACTATGGATTGGACATTAGTTACCAGGTAGCATAGTTGGGTGTCAAGAAAGCGAGGGGTGAAGTTTATGGGGATCATACCATGTCATTCGACCAACTAGGTGGTACAGTGAGTCCGTTATGGAAAAAAAATCCCAACAGTTACATTAATCTTGAATTTGATCAAAAAAATGGGAGGTTCGTTCAGTATTTTATATCATTTCGTGCTTGTATAGATGGGTTCAATCATTGTTGGCCTCTGCAGTTTCTAGACGGAACATCCCTGAAAGGTAGATTTGAGGTTAATTTGCTTGCCGCTACCGCTAAAGACGGCAATCAAGGTACCGAACTGTTTTTCTTTTTTATTCCCATGTATAACTACGCATACAGTGTTCCGTCTGATATTTTTACAATTCAACTTGCTCGTATAATTTAACCCATATACAAATGTGATGTCATGAAACAGTCAACACATGGTAATGTAAAGCATCTTCGCATTCTTATTACGGGGTTGTTACAGTTTCGAAATGTATGCATTGCACAGATGGTTATACAACATGACACATTGTAATACCACTTTTGATTATACCATTTCCATGCCATCCAATTTATTATACCATGTGCTTTTATTATGTATTTGTAGGATTGTTTCTAGTTGCGTTCGTTATTGTTGATTCTGAAAATTCATCTAATTGGGAATGGTTTCTTCAGAATTTGAAAGAAATTATTGGTGATGGTCGGACGTTGACATTTATATCTGACCGCCACGCTGGACTGCTATAATCTATGCCAAACATATTCCCGTCAGTATACCATGAATATTGTTTGTTTCATTTTCAAATGAATTTACGAGACCGCATGAAGTACGT